ATACTGATATTTATCAGTCGAATGAAACTCAGTAATGTTGCAATATTCCAATAAACAAGCGTTAACCTCAGGTATCTTTTCTCGTTAAAATTTGAAAACCATGATAAACATCTCCTTGCCTCGGTAGCCAATAGAGTCTCCAGTTGTCACAGTTGTGCGCAGTATTTATGATAGCAAACGACGGTCTGATTCAGTATTTCTTTATTAGCAGAAGCCAAAAACCTAGACGTTTTAGAATGTTTTGTTAGTTGACTATATGGGTCGCGTAATTATGAAAATAGATCTAAAACAACTCGTTTAGACTTAAGGTAACACCAAACCAACGATAAAAATGTATCTCATCTCACGAGAGTTAATTTTAGTAGGAAACCTATAAACACCTTCAGTTTCGTTTTTCTAGACTTTGTAACCTGTGTAGCAACATTAAAATCTTATTCGTTTGTCCTTTTGATTTTAAAATATTTGATTTTTTATTCTTTTCTTTAAAGAATGTAAGGATTCTGAATTTGCAAGTAAAAGTCATTTGACATGGACATTCACCAGTCCTCATTACCCTTACCAGTACCCAAGTAACGTTGATTGTACATGGGACATTCGTTCTACTATTGGGGGAAACGAAAAATTGTATATAGTATTTGATGATTTTCAACTGGAGAAAACAACAACATGCAGGTAAGAGGCAAAGACTACTTTTCTTATTTATTGCACTCTACTAAAAGTATTTCTAGGTGCATGTGAGGTATTGGCCACAATTAATTGACTTAAACAAAATATTTACTGCAGCAATACAGCTTACAATTTTTATCTTGTACTTTTTAATTTATTTTGTTTTGTTCCCGCTTTGAATTTCAGTGACTATGTCTCAGTCAATCAATCCAATGGAAAATCTATTCAAAGATTTTGTGGAAAGCAAGATCCTTTCGCGGTTAGATTAACGAGTCAATCAGCAATCCTAAAACTCAAGAGTGATGGGGGATTGGAAGAGAATGGTTTCCATGCCCGGGTGTTCGTGGTGACGATTAAGATGCAAGTAAAAGTTACATGTATGTACAAGAAGTTTTGTATTTGATGAGTGGAATGAGTAGTTATCTGTTTTGCTCAGTTGATTGGTTCATTTGGTGGATGTGTTAGTTGGTTGGATGGCATGGCAGAATGGTTTATTTAGTTGGATGCGTTGATGAATGGGTAAGTTCACTTGATGGGTGGGTTGATGGATGGATGAGTGGGTTTACTTATTGGGTGGGTGGATGGATGGGTGGGTGGGTTCACTTGTTGGGTGGGTTGATGGATGGATGAGTGGGTTTACTTATTGGGTGGGTGGATGGATGGATGAGTGGGTTCACTTGTTGGGTGGGTTGATGGATGGATGGGTAGGTTTACTTGTTGGGTGGGTGGATGGATGAATACGTGGGTTCAATTGTTGGGCGGGTTTTTTGACTATTGTGACTTTACTTTTATTTATTGACCATCTATTTTCTTTCTTCCAGTTCTTAACAGTGCTACAAATGGAGTTATATACAACAGTACTCTTCAATGGTTAAAACCGAAAATTAACGAGGATATCATTGAATACGTGGTGTTGTATAGCGGAGATGTTTATAACGATATGGTGTGGAAGGCTTCTGTAACCAATACAACCAAGGCAGTACTAACAGGATTAGAACAAGGATTCGAAGAATACACTGTTTTCTTACTGTTCCGCACGATCGATGGAAAAGTATACTTTGGGACTAGGAGTAAATTCAAATTACCTCAACCAAAAGGTAGGCGTAAAATGAAGATGTAAAAACATTCTTCGACTTCAATACTCTGTCTCGGGGTTAAAAAAAGTCGGTTTTTTTAATGCAAAGAGGTGAAAAGATAATAATATACATCTTGAAATCTTGAAGAAAGAGAAAATACGCGCTCACACATCAGTGCTACAAATCCCCCAGGGGTACTACTCCATATAGGGGATTATACGGGATTCTCCACCTGATAGAGGTACTACCCTGGGGAGAAAACATGACAGCATCATTGGGTATATATGAAAGGTTGAGAATCCGGAAAGAAAAACGCCACTCGTATTATATATGCTCTAATATAGCACGCTCCAGCAACCAGTCGGAAAGCGTGAGTTATGACAGGTATTTTCTATAAGTTATGAATTAAAGCACCAGCATGGGCAATAAGATTAATTTGAAAAATTATAACTGTTGCAGTTACTTCCACTCCAACAACTACTGAACCTCCAAGAATGCAAGGTATGTTGTAGACAAAGTCCGACTGGACGTAGTGTTTTTCCATTACGAATTACGGTTCTCACTTTAGCAGCAGTAAGGGGGACTCGCGGAGCGCCGGCAGAGGCAAAATAGACCCCCGGCCCCCCCTGGGCTTTTTCGGGTTTGACGAGGCCCTACAGGGGGTCTTGCGCGATCCGTCGGCAGCGCGAAAAGTCCCTTACTGCTGCTGTGTTGGGTACCGTAAACGGAGGTAAAAATATCTTATAAATATACGATGCACGAATGTAAGAAGTTCGTTAACGACTTTTGCATAATTTGTCTAAGACCTTAGTAGAGTGTACAGAATCCCATTGTTTCGGCAACCACTTTCGGCTACCTTTTTTTGTGTTCGCAACCGCGGAGTGTATGGATCGTCACTGCCTCCCAAAAGAGTGTATGCGTTTCCCGAAAGATGGGAGAGGACGATTCGTTCCCCGCCGCGGCAAAGAATGTCGACAACGAAGTTAAATCTTTGTTAAGTATGTGTGGAAACTATTTCGAAAGGTGTCTCAGAATGTCGACAACGAAGTTAAATCTTTGTTAAGTATGTGTGGAAACTACCTAGCATTGCGTGTCCCAAAAGAGTGTCAGAATGTCGACAATTAGGTTAAATCTTTGTTAAGGATGTAAATGGAGGCTAGGACTGCTTGTTGTGTCACTCTACTACCTTTTTTGTCCAAAAGATGTGCGTGCCCACTGAACCAGAAAGGGCCCCCAGGAATGTCCGTGGGATAGCAAGGGCCCCGAAACAGGGCGCTTCTACTATGCAGGAAGAGAGGAACGATCGTAGTAGTAGCCAAAAACCTTC